GAAATTACGAGCCGTCCTGTAAGCTTACAGATACGAAAAAAATGCTATAAGGCTGCTGATACGAAGCTTGCAGTGGACAAGGTTGTTGTAAATGCTCAATGGCATGTTCATGGATACGGTAATATCACATAAATAATATGATAATTGCACATCAATAATACGGTAATTAATGTATATGGCAATATCATATCAATAAAAGAAAAACAACTAAAAATCACAGAAAATGTCATTTATTCTACCTCTACTTCATCTACAATGAAAGAGGTGGACTTCAGAGTACTGTTAGTAATGGATGAGTACGCTCTGCATACTTCAAGTGTTTTAAAATGAAGTTTCATTCCCAGTGTCCCGAGTAGCCCCGTTCAATGGGGCTACTCGGGACACTCTTTTTTTGCTTCTGGCACCTTAGGAATAGCATATGGAATTTTTTTGAAGATGCCATTCGATAGCCCTCGCAAAGAGCTATAAAATGAGCCTAAACTTGTTTATGAAATGTTTCATCGTAAGAAGTTATTAACAAAAAACGCTCAAAACCGTCCCGAGTAGCCCCGGTTGACGGTACTTCTTCATAAATGTAATCTTTTTTGCTATTAATTCGCAATTGATGGGCTGACTGCTGTCTGCTGATGTCATAATATTGTTATTCAGGTGGGCGGTGGCATGATGACAAGCTGTATTGCATTTCATGATCATTTATACAAGTTTTAGACCAAAATGCTCAGTAAAATTAGAAAGTACAGGAATAAAAGCCGAGAAGTAGAATTAAAATTTTGCAGAAAACAATTAAACTTCACTATTATATATATAGTCAAATGGGGTAAGACAGGATCGCAGCCTTCATGGGGTAAGAAAGGACCAGCCCATATCATGCATTCTAATTGCACTGAATTTAATTTGATAGAAGAATATGTTAGAGCAATCATTGCATGTCATTTCAGTGCTTGTTTCAACCCTCTTCTGCAAATAATGAATTTCTGGCTAATTTTTAAAGAAAACTTATGTAAAGAAGGGTCACAAAATAGTTAACCCTGTTTGGGAAATAAGCTCT